AACGATGGGTGATGTGGTAAAATTATACTTAAATTAATGGATCTTTGTAGTAAAAAGTATTGTTTTTGTGTACAAAACGATGCGTTGATTAAAAAAGCAAAAGGTGTAAAAACATGTGTTGTCAAGACAAAAATGAGATTCAAAGACTATAAAGATTGTTTATTAAACAAATCCAAATAACATGCAAACGAAATCTTATTCGTTCCAAGTCTTAAGACGTTAATACTGAAAAACATAAAAAAATAGCTCAGCATTCAAAAAATGATAAGTGCCATCTGCTGTTTAATTCTACACATAAACTGCTTTAGGGACATTATTGCATGATGGATTAGGAGGATAAAGCATTTCTAGAAATTTTACTGTTAAAAAAACGAAAAAGGAAAAAAAGACAGAAAGTAACAGCCGTTGGAGGTGGGAAATGTTGAAAGAGAGGAACATTCTGGAGAAGAAATATTTCTATATCAGAAGGTACCTCAGCCTTTGAAGCTCATTCCTATGCTAGACAAATCTCAAAGCACATCAGGTCCTCCTCTAAGTAAGATACAAATACTAGCCTAACATGAAGAGTTGTATGAGTCTGACAAAGTCATTCCAACATAAACGAGCTGGAGAGCACATTGAGTCCTCCTGCAAGCAAGATACAAATGTTTAAACACTCTTCGTCTATCAAGAGATTGAGCTTAACTTTTTAGTGAGTAGCTACTTTTACTTAATAACTGTAAACTGTAGCATACAAGTATTGAATTATTGGTTTTTCTCAGAAATTGGTCTTTTCTGGGTTTAACTGTATCATTAACAATGTTAACCTCGCAACAAAGAAGGAATCAGAATTAAATAAGAATAGAATATATATGGTAACAGAGCTTAGAAGAACTAATACTCACCTTGGAGGCAAGGTCATTATCACGATCGATGATGAGTTCCAAGTCTTCCTTCTAGATCCTGTATTTAAAGCCATCAAAAAAAATGAGGACTTTTATAATGAAATAAGAAAAAGAGTTCTAAGGTATGCTTGATTTACACTTTATCATGGCTATAATAAATTTAAATTCATGGATATTCAATTGAAATTTGCATAAATAAACATATTTGAATTTATAAAGAGAGATTAAGATAGAAAGAGAAAGGATATTGGGGTTAAAATAAGTGATAGATTGGTTGTTTCACATAGGAGAAAGCGTTTGCCGGAGCTCCTTCTACTTTTTCTTTTTTATTTTATAATTTTTTTATTAAATATCGAATTCTTTGGTACGACTATTATGATAATCATCTCGTCCTAAGTATTTAATGTTGTTAGTATTTAAAAAAATTTTCTTCACAAAATGGACATCAGAATACTTGGCCTATTGGCCTTTAAAAGTTTTTGTTTGTAAAAGCCCCCGGACTTTATTCAACTATTATAATCTTCTAATTCATAAGTGATTGGATTTGTTTTTGATATTTTAGTATTTCTAAAAACCTTTGTAGAACAATTTGATGTATAACCTATTTTAAAAAGCGTTTTTCACTTTACTTATATGAACTTTATGACAGCTTTACATTTTTGCATTCTATTTCCTAGCTCACTTTGAGAATTTTATCGTGTCAAGAATTTAGCTTTATACATCAATTTGATACCTTTTAGTTTCATAGCTGTGGCACAATGTTTTAAATTATTATATGCTGCAATTAAATCCGGCAGTAAATCAAGCCATTTATAGTAACCATTTAAACTCAATCTAATACACATTTTATTTTTCAGTGACTTTATATCCAATACCAGATGAACCTTGGCTATTGCCTTCAGTCTTATTCAGCTTACGTCAGAACCCATAGATTCTCATTGCCATACTGACTTAAATTAACGTACTTATATTAACTTTTTGCTGCTGCTGCATTAGTTGAGCAATTTTATACTGAAGTAACAATGGTCCCTTCCTTTTAATTCTGATAAGATCAAAAATCAAAACTATAATTCTATTAAGTTCAATACTAACATGCATTTGAATACGACGATTCTTGCTAAATCCATTTTGATCTGCACGTCAACTTTCAGAAGTACAGAATATTTAGTTAAATCATCTTGAATCATGCGAGTTGTATCAGGATGTTTTTTCACAAGCAGTGTTATCAATCCAAATTTTATGAAAAATCTTACCATATTTATCGTAAATTCTTTTATATTTGAACTTATTAGTGAATTTGTAACTTATACTTTTGATCTTTTTCTCAAAGCACATAAAAAAAATCTAAAACACCTTCCTGATTTTCATCCACTATTTGTAAGTATGTGTCATTAAAAGTGTTTTTATTATTATCATTCATCTAATTTTTAATAATAACATTAACATCATTATGATTAACATCATCATTATTGTTATTTTGACTGACAGCCAACTCAAACATCGTATCTTTATGATCACTATACTTTTTCTCCGTTTAATAAGCAGCTTTAGTAAAGGAGTATTGTTAAAGTTATTGTGCATCACAAAATAATTATTTTTATTCTCTTTGTTCATTTGCGTTTCTTTTTGCTGTAAAAAATCGGCCATTCACTTAGAAGTATTATGAAGTATTTTTCAACTTCATCTTGTTAAGATTTTAATAATCTAGATTCTTTTTGACGGCTTCTCTTGTCTTGACCAGCTAATAAAAAACCTCTTTTTTCTTCTTGCACATGCTAATACTTTGATGTCTCAGAGTAGACTGATTAGTTTGTACTATATATAATCTATATTTATAGTAAAACTGTCAAAACCTTGACAGTATCGGTCGTTTTTCTTCTGCCTGTCCTTATCGATAGCAACAAAACCATATCCATCATCATTTAAATAGCTTAATAGTAGATCTTTAAACTGACTATAGGACTTACGAAAACTCACGTGATCATCGTATACATGCCTTAAAGAAAGTTTATCTTGACGAAATAGAGCTAGAAGATTAACGTTATCTTTCATAAGATGCTTCGATACTTGTGCATATGACTGATGAAGATAAAAACAATAAATATTTTAGTGTCTTCCTAAGCAGCAAAAAGCTTTCAGACTATCCTGTTTTTCGCATGCAATATCATCAAAAATTATAATAGAGTTCTCTAGAAAATTGTTTGCAGACGAAACCCCTTTATGTTCATTTCAGTGTTAGTATTACACACTATCTGTAGGCTTTAAAAACTCTTTTAAGAATTTATATGTAAACTGTTTAAGGGACTTCAAATGCACAGAAACCTAATCTTAGTCTAATAGGATGTTTAACTTGCACAGATAAACTGCCTATCTTACAACAATTAGGTAGCATAAAAAATAATTACCTACAAGTTTACAGACTCCTGTTTAGATTTCATGTCTGCACTATACGATGGTTTGACTAGAAATGACGTCTAGTCCGTAAGAACACTGCTTATATACTCTTGTGGTTAGAGATTTCCAGACTTGCAGAATATAAATACGATGATTTTTGCTCTAAAACTCAGTCGTAATCCAACCTTCAAAGAGTGATAAATATACATAATATGCAAGGACATGATTTTTTATTCATCATCGCCCGTAGGCTCAGACATGGCATTTTTTTACACAAGCATAGTGTTAATTAGCCATCGGTGCACCTGAGTTATGACCAGATGTTTATATACGTATATAAACATCTGGACCAACTCAGTCACACCTATGATCACATAGACGAAGCATTAGAGAAACAGTTAATCGACCTTCGAGAATCAAGTGCACAGGCGAAAGGACGAGACTTGAATGGTGACCAGACGGTCACCCATCCAAGCACTAACCGCGCCCAATGCAGCTTAACCTCGGAGATCGATGGAACTGCAACTCTACCATTGCGCTACCATGACCACAAGGACATGATTTTCTGAATAAAATTGTAAACGCTTGTAAACCGAATAATGTGGTCCAGGTACTAAACTTGTAAAACTTCTTGCCAGAAGCGATTCAGGTATAAATCCAATAGACGAAACGTCTAATGAGCACGATATAGCTTATTCTTTAAATAGATAAAACATCAAAACTAGAAACTCAGCAGATCAAGTCTTAGCTAGAATTGCTTGATAAAAGTAAAAGCCAGAAGTTCACGAATTGGAAAAAAGTAGTAGCTCTAGCATTTAAAAGTACTATGAGGCATAAAAATAAATTGAAAATAGGTGTAATAGGTAAAAAGAGACTATGTACTGCCTTGCGTAAAGTCTTTAACGCTGTATCACGGAAAATAAGCACAAAAAGCAGAGATGCACAGAAGGTTATTACTTTAGCTTAGAAGTGTATCCATAGTGCAGTTAAGAAGGCAGGTGGTGAGAAAAGTGTAGAAACATCATTTATCTTATCGCTTCCTGCTCAAGTTGGCAGCGTACTCATCTTAATACCCTTACTTGCTGACTTGAGTGCAACTGGTGCCCAAGCTAGTAGAGTAGCTAGAATATTGAAAAGTAAAAATGCTTGTAAGGCTATTAAACAGCAGCTGCAAGGAAGTCAAAATAACAATAAAATTTTTTAGAATATTGCACTTGGAAGAGCTCTCAAACTTCAACTACATAAAACTAAATTATGCATCTACTTCAATCAATATGCTGAAAGAGTTGTTAAGGGAATAAAAATAAAATAAAATAAAAACTGCTGATCAAGTTCCAACCAGCATCGATATATTTGAATACGCCGTATTTTACACTTTTTAAATAACCCCCACAACATAACTACGTTCTCGGCTTAGTAAAACTCTTAACTTTTGATTCAATTCTAAAATTTGACAAAGGTTATCATAAATTTTACGTAGGCTATCAAATGGTCATTTTTTCAACAAGCAGCTAAAAATCCGTGATATCAAGTCATTTTTAATAAAAGCATTACAGCCTCACATGGCTATTTATATCAATCCCAACAATAATACACATTGTAGTATCATGAAGTTCAATCATATTGTTTTTATGCAATTCAGACTAAAAAATTTTATAAAAAGGCTCTAAGGCTCCACAAAACGAGTATTTAAAAATTATATCACCCATATTTTAGAGTTAACTATGGCTATTCTCAAAGTAAATGCATAACTACCAAAACAAATACGTCTAAGATATCCGTATTAGGGATATTTGCAAGGGTCAACCCGTCCGTAGTGCAATGGACGAATCTCACCTTGGAGAAACCGCCTTGTAGATCATGGTTATCTCTACGCCAGGTAAGTGCAACATCACTTTTATAGTTTTTTTTAATCAAGAAAAGATTTATCCAATTAACAAACTCATCGCAGCAGTTTTACCAGATTGCAAAATTATTGAAGTCCTTTGACAGGTAACTAATTTATCGACTGCTGGCGTACTATTAATTACACACACACACACACACACACACACACACACACACACACACACACACACACAGACAGACACACATCTGTATTACANTAATCACACACACACACACACACACACACACACACACACACACACACACACACACAGACAGACACACACACACATATACACGTAAATTCGACCAGCAAAGAGATTGAGTAAGTTTTCGTGGAGAAGTTGCAGCGATAAGGTGGCACTTGAAATTCTTGCAATGATGGTAATCGCTCACAATTAGAAAAGGTGTATAAGTAGCTTGATATGTACTTCATCGCTCAATCAACAACGGACATCCGAACCATTAACACATCAACGAAAATGACAGTTCGGTTGTTAAGCTAACGCATTAGAACATTTTATATTTTAAGGTCTAGAATTAAAAGTTAAGGGCTCGAGTAAAAATAAATTTGTATGTTTTAATTTTTTTGCATTGAACATTAAAGAGATCCTATGCATTTAGTTACCTGCACCTATGACGAGTCTATTGAATACTATGAGATTTACGGTCATGAAATATATGTACCTGCAACTCATTATAATAGTGATAAGATCCGTAAAGTAACTTGGCATCAAGACCTGTGTCTTCTACCGACATGAAATTCCGTTTATGTTCATGCAAAGGTTGTAAAATCAGATGGTTATACATGAGCAGCATATTCTTAATTCTAGAACCACATAATCTGCTATCTATTCAAAGAATCCAGGCATGAGATAAATGCTATAGAGATAATTAAACATAATAATGTGAGCCTGACGACTGTCACATGTAATTGACTTACACTTAGTCCTGATCAGGATCTAATGACCGACATTGCCGGTTAGTTTGCAATTTTGGATGAAAGGACTCTAACTTATATTAACAGTTCCTTTGATGTCTTGATTTCTCTGAATATGATATAAGATTTTTCTGAACTCTGTTGCAAGATTTTTTTTAACATGGAATATAAAATATTACTTACTCGCTTAGGAACTGATTTAAATAGAGCCATGCAATCAGAGATAGTTGCTAATGGCAGTGATAACATAGTACCAGTCTGGAAAAAATTAATGATAGAAACTTTGGAACTCAAATGGTATATTCTTTATGTCTTGAAGTTTGATATTTATATAATTCGACTGCTTAGTTATTTACAGAAAGATAAATTAAAATTTATAAGTTTTTGAGCTTGGAAGCTTTGTAAATACTCACTTTTGTCTACAACATCAAAACATATCTAGACATTTAAAGCGTTAAAGTAGTTGGAAAAATCATGTTTTGTAATTTTACCTTTTCAGACCAATCGTACAAAAAAAAGTGTTTATGCTATCACGTTTGATCATTACAACATATGAAATGTGAAACTATATTTCAACTCGCAATATTATCTCTGTGGTGAGTTTAATTTCGATATAGCAAAAAATCAGTTTGCATTGCCGTGTGACATGTATACCAATTTCTAGAATTCGTATCATAGTAAAATTCAGTAACGTTGTCAAGCAGAGTCTGATTCTTTTCCCGTGTATCTCTTATCGTCATTGATTGCTCCAAGCCAGAAAGGTCACTAAAAAATGAGTTTGGTTAACGTTCGTTTGGAATTTTAATCCCACGATAATCTTTTCACTGATACATCAGCTTATTGCTTGATTCTGCACGATCACATTGTTTAATACAACTTGTCGGGCAGGTCAAAAAACTTATGTTAATTAGTGGTGGTTCTAGGTGATGGTAGTCGGGATTAAATTAGAACGGCTTGTGCCTAGTTCTCTTATTACGATTTGCCTTTTAACTGACATGGAGAAAAGTCACAGCAACAGTAGCAGCATTAGTAGCTAGAACAGAGAAGAAAGAGGAAACAAGCAAAAACAAAAAGAGTGAAAAAAATTTAAAAGAAAATAGAAAAGAGGAAACTGTCACAGAAAAAACCTCAAAACGAATCTTAATATAAAAAAACAAAATTTTGGTATTCTTAAAGTCTTACTTCGATAGGCGCGTTATGTAAGAGTGTAAATTAACAATTTCAGATTTGTGATTTAGAAAGAAAGTGTAACGGACGTGGATTTTAAATGTTACTCCCTCCTTGCCTGGCACCCTTCACTCTACCGCTTTTAGCATCCTCCCCTCAACATTATAAGACTTAACGCCACGTAGCAGAGCACAAATTCTAATTTCATTAACTTTTTTTTTTTTCTTTAACTAATTCAAGAAAAAAAAATAAAAAAAATACTTTTTGTAATTCTTGAACCCACGATCTGCTGCACACAAATCGAAGCTTTTACCTACTTGTACCTACACAATTTTTGATAACTGTTTATTTATTGATTCTTTTAATTATGAATCTTATTAGTGTATGAATAATTTGTTTTATTAACTAATTTTTCATGTAAAATGTTTTTTTCGACAATTTACAAATTAGTATATTCTAGCCAAGCAGCTTTTCTATGTAATAATCGATTTGTTCGGCTTTCCAACCCACAGCGCTACGAGTGCTCCAGATTTTTAGTTGAACATTTGTTCCTGCTCCAAGCTAACCCGAGTGATCCCGAGCAACTTCTACACATTTAGTATATCTATATTTATGGCCAAACGTAAATATTTATGGCCAAGACTGTAAATATAGATATACCGACTGTAAAGGAGCTGCTCAGGGTCGCTTGGGTTAGCTAGGAGCAAAGAACAAGTGTTTAGCTAAAAAGCCGGAGCGCTCTTGGTTGAAAATCTTAACAAATCTAATAAATATTCATTTGCTTGTCATGTATTTGTTGCATTAAAATTAAAAAAATAATGATTTATACTGTTAACTATTTATTGTTTTTTCAAAATATTTAAAAACTAAAAAAAAAAGATTTGTTGTGCTATATAAACACAATAAATTATTTTTAGAGTGCATTTTTTTTTTACAATTTTAACATTCGCGACTAAGGTGATTTTCTGACTAAAGGACGTTCTTACCATAGTAACCAGATAAAAGCCAAAAGAGGTGAGAGAAGCGTAAATATATGCAGCAACGCTGCCAATTTTTTATATTATATAGATGAATTTACTTACTCAGTCTTACGCATACATGACCTCTTCGTTATTATGCTATTAAAAAAACAAACTTGTAGATCTGCTTAGAAATTAAATATGCTTATCTAAAAGTACTCCTTAAAACAAACAAATATTAAGAAATTTATACAGATCATATTAATGAATTTTCAAGTGATTTTCTTATAAGGTTACGATGAAATCGGGATTTTGTCAAATTAAATATATAAAAAAGAGAATAGTTAAACGATGTACAATTTTTGGATTTTTGTTTTACTACTTTACATAAATGTTTGATGTTAGAATATTATCTGTCATGAAAACTTATGTGTGGTTAAGGCTCTGAAGGAATATTTTCTGGTATATAATACTACCCTTTTAAAGAGAGTGGTACTACAGGATGGTTTCTTGTAACTTTGGAAGTACAACTATATTTTGTGTATTAAATATAAATGAGGAATCAGTGTGTAAGCGCATATGACAGATGTGAGCGTGATGTTAGAGATGTAATCAGCACAACCGGTAGGGAGTTGTTTGATGAAAGCGTACAATCTTGTACTGGCCAGCTTATACATTTTTTTTATTGTATTGTGCCATAATATATTGTTTAAAACCGTGTAGTTATTAAATATTAAAATATTTATTGAAATCACCCCCAAATGACGTAAGTATACTTATTTCAACGACGATTGCACCACTTTGGTGCTCAATATTGTTTCATACAAAGTATATTTATGTTCATAATCGTACTATCTGCCATATAATTTTATACTTGAGTACCCAAGTACCCACTGTCCACTGGTTTGTTTAGAAACTTTTCCATTTATTGCACAAGCCAACCGTTACAAAACTTACCACATCTACGTATAATATCAAAAACTTTTAATTAAGGCTGATGCATAACTCTGCTTATATCATTTATACATCAACAGTCATGAGACAAGGTCAAAGTGCAGAAAAAAATGAGTTCCATAGAAAATACAAGGAATGTAAAAAGTTTATTGACAGATATGTGACGTGAGCTAAACAGTAGAAGAAAAAAAACACAAAAAAATAATTTAAAAAAGTGATTTATTTGGAATAAGAACATTAAGTATCTGAAAAATATGACAGTGAGGTGTCATCTAAAGATTTTAAGTGCTTGTTTATAACTCATTACATAGTTGATCTGCAAAGGTTTAAATGCCTGCCAACACCTAAGTTCTGGAAGAATTAACTATGTAACTTCGTTGTTTGGATGGTAAGCTAATATTATTTGTCTTTAAAGAACCGTTTCTATGGCAACGATATTTAGATAAATATAAAAGAGAAAACTTATGGTTAAATCACTATTTTCATAATATATCATGAAAGTCGGGGAATTTTTCGTACAATAATGTAGGATCAATTGTTCGAAAAACCTACATAATACTAGAAAAGTGCATGTACTTGGCTCATTGAGAAAACAATATCTGAAAAGGTTAAAATTTATTGTTCATGATACTACTGACTTAGGCTATCTTCCAACTAAAAAAATGAAAGTAACCACTCTTTTTCTGCATCACAGTGGGGCGTACAAGGCCAACTATGCGCATAATAACATAAGACCTTATGAAAAAATTTCTCCTAGATTTGTCTTGTCTTATAGAATGAGTTTTAAAATTGCTTTTAGTGTTTAATCATTTATAAAGTCATTCTTTATTTCACAAATGTTACCTAGCAGTAAATAGGTGAGCTAATTTAGTAAGCTCAATTTTTTTGTCTACGTTTATTTTGAAGAAGTAAGATTTAATAATTGCACCTCACAGATAAAAGCATTTGGTTAAGGCTATCATCAAGCGTGCAACTAAACT